CACACACACACACACACACACACACACACACACACACACACACACACTGCATTGAATGAAGTGGCTGTTGACAGATTTCAGCAGTAATTGATACCCGTGTTTGGCAGCCATTTTCATTTGGCCCAAGCACAAACCAGGAATGATCTAAACTGTGCAGTACAAACACGCACGCACGCACACACACACACACACACACGCAAAGCCCTTCCTTACAAGCATCACTTGACACATCTTGACACATCTTTTTTCATACTGTACGCACACACAACCACACACACACACACACACACACACACACACACACACACATTTGAGCCGAAGAGATTAAATCTCACTAGGCTTCTAAAGGCAAATGAACAGGCTAAAAAAAAAAAAGTATACCCTCCATATATGTACAGGAAGAAGTGGCACTGCTGCCGCTGCTGCTGAAACCTCCAGGAAGACTGACTACATTTTAATTGGTTGTCATCGCTGAACTTTATCTCGTCAGCGATGATGAGTGAGGGGAAGTGTGCAAGCGGCCTAGACAGAAATGTACGCACACACACACACACACACACACACACACACACACACAGAAGAGAGGAGATGAGAAGAAGAGAGTAGAGAAAATGATTCAATTTTTACAGTTAAATCTTACCTTAAACAGGCGCAAGATGTTGGCCACCATGATGGACACCGAGCTGGCCGCGGCTCCTATCACCCCTACGATTTTATCTGGCTTGGTGAAGATGGGAGGGTCCCCGTTGGCGCAGCGGACATCGGAGCCGTCCCTCTCAATCAAGGCCTGCACAAAAGTCAGGGACTGCTCCAGAGCGTACGTGTCCCTGGAGCAGGTATCCAAGATGCGGGCCCCCAGTGTGATGTTGGGCAGCAGATCGGGGTCCTTGTTGATCAGGTCGATGGCGAACATCATGGCCTCCAAACGGTGGATGCCCTTCTCCTTTTTCAGCTCCCCGCAGGGCGTGCCGCGGTCCCCCCGCGAGTGCACGGGAAATAATCCACCGAGGATGACATCGCCGTCCAGTCGGATGGAGTGGGCATACTCAGGCACTGCCTGGGGGTCTATTAGGATCCGCTGAGGGGCAGCGACGGGAAGGAGCCAAGTGTAGGAAGTAGCCATGAGCAAGAAGACGACAGAGGGGGACTGCGGACAGGAAGTCGGGTTCCACTGTGGCTCCATGATCAAGGATTGTTACCAAACAAGAGCCAAGTCTTACAATGGGGCTTTCTGATGGATATTCCAAAACTGAGGATGTGTTTTTGGGAATACTAAAAAGTAGGGCCTTCCTATTGGTCAAAGGGGGAGGAGTAGAGAACCCCAGGGGTGGAGCTAGCCGAGCCCCATGAGCGAATCATATTCCAGAATGGACCAGTGTGATAAAGAGCGAAGCTTAGAAACGTGGCGGCGGTGCAGTAGAAATATAGAGTTGGGGAGTTGAGCCTGTAATCCACGAGTCACATCTTCAGTAGAGCCTGCAGAAGAGAGACAGGGAGAGGATTTCTAAGTAGCAGTGTGGTGTGAACTTCAAGCTGCTGCGGGGATGAACGGTCCACCTGACAAACATGTGTAAAACCACCTCATGGGCAATGAGAAAATGCAGTCAGGCATACCCAAAAACAAGTTAAAAATACACACAACGCTCCTTCGCCTGCGCACGCTCACATGGGTACAGGCTTTTCCAGCAGACCTGTCAAAATGTGCACTGCCATTCTATAATTGAAAACCCAAAGTCTGTCGGTTTGTAATCACCTCTACACACACACACACACGCGCGCGCACACACACGTGCACACACACACACACACACACACTTGTCTCTTGGCATATCGATGAGTGAAACAGCTGTTAAAATGACAGGAGATAGAACCTTGGCAAGCTCCTTGGGGCTATTCGCAGGAAGGCGCAAACTCCCCGCTGCAGTGGAGGTGAGGAAGAGCGACGGAGAGAAGAGCTGAGCGAGGTTGAGGAAGAGGTGGAGGAGAAGGAGGAGGACGCAGTGAGACGGGGAGGGGGGGAGACAGAGGAAAACCACGTGAGACAGGGTGAGAGAAACCGAAGACAGCAGAGAAAAGAGTGAGAGTGAGAGAGAGAGAGCGAGCGAGTGCCTCGGAGCCTCATTCAAACACCTGCTGTTTCTGCTGCAGCTAAATGAACACATTACATCCAGCAGCACCCTGGAGCTTGAAATCACAACAGGTAGATGTAATGTTGAAAGTTTTTTCCAAACAATCCATCCCTGGCAGTAATGCATATTAAGCAGCCGTATTCTTGAGAAAGTGATAGAACTTGGTTTGGGCAGGGAATTAAAAAATTGGTCTTGACAAAAGTTCTGATTTTTCTTTTTTCATTTTCCATGACTGTTGAGAGCGAGGAAGCAATTTTTTCCTGAAATCTTTAGTTAAACTAAGAGAGCATTCATTATATGTCTAACAAGGGATATGTAGCTCTTGGTAACGATGCAATGCTCCTATGAATTAAAATATTAATTATGCTTCTGACGTGGCCTTTCTTCACACAATTTAGCCTTTTAATTAGCCCTGTAGTTCATTCCATTACTTATCTTCCCTTAAATAACAATCTCTCAGCACAAATAGACTACTGAGCTGCATCCTAATGTTAAAACAATAGTTTTTGACACTTTGGGACACATTATTCACTTTCTTGCCGATAGATGAGAATTTGGTACCACGATAATGTTACGCCAGTAGAGGCTTAAAGGCTCCATTTTGCAATGGCAGCCGCTGGTGGGTTAATCCGGCCCTGCCAAAATCACGCCAAATGAGATCCGACTGATCATATAGGATAATCTGGGACCAAATCCTACACTTTCATTGCAAAGAGCTTTCCCGCCTAACTTAAAGAAGAAGAAGAAAAAAAACAGGAAACGATTCCTAAAGCAAAGCATCATTCACATCACTTGAACTTTAAATATTCAGCGAGCCAGCCTCAGGTTTCAGGCTCAGATCTGAGCAGCGTGAGCCGCTCTCTCGATGAATCCATTTATAACTCAATTCTGTCCCAATTAATGTATCAGCTCCTCTCCACTCTAAATGGAATTAGGTCAAAGACACTCATACTCAGCCCCAGCTATGATTAAAAACCCGGCTCCTTTATATAGGTTAGCCGCTATTGTACTCGCCGCAGTACTTGTTTATTCAACACTTTTTCCTCGGCTCCACTTGGCTCGGACCCAGAGAGGGCCGGAGCCCCCCGTTATCAATCCATTACACATAATTAAACAACTGCAATTAAATGTAGTCTAACAGGATCCACTGTAGCTCACAGTTTCAGCTCACTACACTGCTTTTCATTATTCCGGCTCTTAACATTTGGCATTAATCGGATTTTCCCAAACAGGGAGCCACCACGAGGACCTAAAGGACGTTTTATTAAGTCCAGGGAGTGCACATTCATGTTATAAAAAGTTGGCGGAGATAATGCGTCAGGGCTTGTGTGTGTGTGCGTGCATGTGTCTGTCTGTCTGTCCACGGCTAATCTTACACACTGCTGGACCCATCAGCTTAAAAAAGTTTCGTCATTTAGGACTGTATGAATTTCTGACAATCAGCTAAAAACACTCATTTTGAACCACACGAGATCACGAAATCCCTGTTTTTGCCCTCTGGACTGTAAGGGAGAGCCAGAGAGGGACAATTGAGTGTGACTCTGCTCTTCTATATTTGGGAGGGAAGAGGGAGACACATCGGGGGCCGGAGATCCGCAAACTACCGAGTGCACTTTTCAAGTTCAAGATGTAACTACATGCAAACGTCTCGAGAGGGGCACCGAAAAGTCAGAATCAGTGCAACGTGTGAATGTTTGATGACGGAGCTGAGGCCCTGAGGTTATTAAAAGTTTCATTTACCCTCATTGGTTATTTCAAAAGGGGGTGAAAAGTCACACTACTTCACCTTGTCTGTATGTGACAGTAATGCACGCCTGCTATTCTTCATAACCTGATTGTGGCTATTGCTCTTCGAGTCTTTGTCTTTTATGACGCTTTACAAAAGTAAAACAACAACAGATATCTTCTCCTGTGTGGCAGCCTAAAGGAAGGAGGAGTACCTCCTGAAGAAGGAGGTTTCCTCCGCTGTGGTGGTTAGTGGCTCGCAGACGAAGAGGTTTAAAAGCCCAAGAGGCTGCAGCTCATCACTCTCTTTAATTTACACCCACGGCTGGCTGTCTGCATGAGTGTTGCCCACTCGCACTGTGGTTTTTTTTCCTTCTATATCTGGCCTACTTTTCTGTTTAATTCCAGCTGCTTCCTCTTCACTCCACACCTGACCTCCGTGCAATCTCCCTACTACCCCTCCACTCCTTCACCTCCCGCAGTTTCTTCATGTTTCACTCTCTCCTCCACCTTTTCTCCCTTTCTAATTCACCCTCGTTTTAATTTATCCTTCTCTTCCACCGTCTCCTCCTTCTCTCTCCTCTTCTGCAGGCCTCCTCATTCCTCTGGGGGGCTTGCTGCTCTTTTCAGAAAGAGATAGCCTCTCTCTCTCTCTCTCTCTCTCTCTCTCTCTCTCTCTCTCTCTCTC